CATTCTCCTCACCCCCCATTCTCTCCCTCCTCCCCAGCCGCGCCACCGGATCCGACACACATCCTTACGAAGGCGATCTTCTGCAGTCCGCTTTCCCGTGACTAAAAATTAGAGGCCATCAGTCATTCGCTAACGTCTCACTTACGAGGTCAGTCAGGTGTGACATTTGCACGCGCGGGAGGGAGAGGGAAGGAGGGAGGGATAGGGAGGGAGGGAGGGAGGGAGGGAGAGGGAGGGGAGGGAGAGGGAGAGGGAGAGGGAGAGGGAGAGGGAGAGGAGGAGAAGGAGAAGGAGAAGGAGAGGAGAGAGAGAGAGAGAGAGAGAGAGAGAGAGAGAGAGAGAGAGAGAGAGAGAGAGAGAGAGAGAGAGAGAGAGAGAGAGAGAGAGAGAGAGAGAGAGAGAGAGAGAGAGAGAGGGAGAGGGAGAGGGAGAGAGAGAGAGAGAGAGAAAGAGAAAAGAAAAGAAATAGAGAGAGACACAAACAGACAGACAAATTCAAACATCCCCCCCCCCAAAAAAAAAAAAATCCCAAACAACAACAAAAAACACAAGACAGACAAACAAACACAAACGACGCACAAACACACCGACACCTATATTCCTCCTCAGAAAATTCCAGCTGCTTCATGACCTGCTAAGACTGCTTGTCACCGTGCTTGCGTGATGCTTCCAGGACTCAAAAAAAAGAAGAAAGAAAGAAAGAAAGAAAGAAGAAAGAAGAAGAAGAAAAGAACGCAGATAATTAATTTTTTTGGCAGCATCCGTAACGAATATTTTATTTTTTATTATATTTTTTATTTTTAAAGATAACTATTTTTGTCTTGATTCAAAGCCGATAGAGATTATTCGTCCGGTAAAAAATACGAAGGGGAAAAAAGGAAAAAGAGATTAAAGAGAAAAAAGGAGAGAAAAAATAAGAGATAAAAAAAGGAAAAAGATAAAAAGATAAAAGGAGATATAAAAAATAAAAAAGGAAAGAATAAAAACAAAAAAAAATAAAAAAGATAAAAAGAAAGATAAAAAAAAAAAGGAAAAAAAATAAAAAAAAAAAAAAAAAAAAAACAAAAGGAAAACGAAATAAAAAAGGAAAGAGATAAAAAAGGGAAAAATACATAAACAACTGCGTGGATGTCAACCATGGCATGGGCGTGTCTCGTGAACGTCTAAGAAATCGAATTACGATAAAATGCGGGAAAAAAAGATGTTAGTAGTAAGGAAATGGGAAAAAAGGGAATAAATCTGAGAATGGAGGTAAAAGAAGGGGAACAAGATGAAGGAAAAGAAGAAATAGACGTTAAAGAGGAAGAGGAGAAAAAGAAGAAGAAATAGACGCTGAAAAGGAAGAGGAGAAGAAGAAGAAGGAGAAGAAGAAATAAACAAAAAGAAGACTCCGAAAAATGATACAAAAAACAAAGCTAAAACGAAAAAGAAGATAAGGAAAGAAATACAAAGAAAACAAGAAGAAAAGAAAGAAGAAAAAGAAGAAGAAGAAAACGAAAAATAAGGAGAAAGAGAAAAAGAAACAAACGAAGAAGAAAACGAAAAAAAAGAAAACAAAGAAAAACAAAAAGACAAAAAGAAGAAGAACACGAAGAACAGCAAGAACAACAAGAACAGCCCCCAGATGTCAAGGGCACAAAAGATATTCTCACACAATTACCCGACGCAATGCACTGTCTGGCTGCGAGCAATATGTTACTGCTTTTGCGGAGAAAAAACTGATTTTTTCCGTCTCTTTTCTTCTCTTCTCTTTTGTTATTATCTATTTTTTGGTTTCTATTTTGTTTATTCTTCACTTTTGTTATTATCTATTTCTTTTCTTCACTTTTGTTATCTTTTGTTTTACTTTGTTTATTCTTCTCTTTTCTTATCTTTTTCTATTTCGTTTATTCTTCTCTCTTCTTATTATCTTTTTTTTTTTTATTTTTTATTCTTCTCTCTTGTTATTTTTCTATTTTACTTTGTTATTCTTCTCTTTTGTTATCTATTTGTTTATTCTTCTCTTTTGTTATCTATTTTTCCTTTTCTATTTTGTTTATTCGTCTCTTTCGTAATTATCTATTTTTTTTGCTTGATTTTCTTTATTTGTTTTTTTTTATTTAGCCTAAATTTTCTATTACCTACTAATGTTTTAAATAGTGAGGATTGCTCAAGTACGAAGAGGAGAAGGAGAAGAAGAAGAAGAGAAGAGAAGAAGAAGAAGAAGAAGAAGAAGAAGAATAAGAGATGGCGAAGCAAAAAAAAATGAGAGAAAGAAGAAAAAAGATGAAAAAAAGAAAGAAAAAATTAAGAAGAAAAAGATAAAAAAACAAAAAGAAAGAAAGAATCAGAAGAATTAAAAGAAAAAAAATAAGAAAAAGAAAGACGGAGAAAAGATTAAGTAAAAATAGAAAATAGTCTGACAAAGCAAGCGCGAATTCCCACGCTTAAAGATCTTGAGAGTGTACCGCACCGAAGGAGAATATATACGTACATACATGCATACGCACATGTGTAATTTCTTGTGGGGATTTGTGTGTGTGTGTGTGTGTGGGTGTGGGGTGTGGGTGGGTGTCTCGACACAACACCCTTATGTATAGACTTAGAACAACACACTTACTTATAAACCCACTATGCATATTCTAAACACACCCTTACTTAAAAACCCACTTATAAAAATATTCTGAACCCTTACTTATAACACACTTATATAAAAGATTCTCGACACACACCCTTATAAACTTACACACCTTACTTATAAACCCACTTAAAACCATCTCTCGATCTACTTACGGCCTTGAGTCACCCAGGCGGCCCAGGTGAGCGAGGCGGGGAGGAACACAGGCCCACTTCGTAGCTGGTCTTCACGTCGGGACCTGAGGGGAGGGGGTCGGGTTAGTGGGGGTGGTGGTGGTGGTGGGAGAGGGGGGAGGGAGGGGAGGGGAGGGGGAGGGGTGGGGGAAGGGGGGGGAGGGGGGGGGGTGGGTGGGGATGGGGTGGGGAAGAGGGGAGGTGGTGGGGAAAGGTGGTGGTGGGAAAGAGGGTAGAGGGGTGGGTGGGGTGGAAGGGGAGGGGGGGGGGTGGGATGGGGGGTGGAGAAGAGGGAGGGGGTGGGGTGGTGGGTTGATGATGACAATAATATTATCAGTGTTGCTATTATCATTATCATCATCATCATTATCTTATACAATAATAATAATAATAATAATAATAATAACAATAATAATAATAACAATAACAATAATAATAATAATAACAAGAATAGTAATGATAATAACAATACTAATAATGAATGCATAAAAAAGTAAAAAAAAAAAAAAGAAAAAGAAAAACATAGACCCTTTTTGTCATTTTCAGGACATTACATAACTTTCACTAAATATTTAAAATCACATTTACATTTTACTACAACCATAAGGCAGATATTACATCCCAAAAAAAGAGAGAAAAAAAAGTATATATATACATTACACCCTACACCAAAATACGAAAAACTATAATAAACTCTATCTCACCCCCCAATAAATAAATAAATACATAAACAAACAAATAAACAAATAAATAAATAAAGGAAATAAACAGAAGGCTGGACTCACTGATCTGAAACTCCATTACGTTCGAACTCCTTTCCTGCATCGCCAGGCACGTGAAGGCCTCGTCGCCGCTGGAAGAGAGAAGGGAGCGTTAGTGTAAATGTTTTTCTTTTCTTTTTTTTCTTTTCTTTTCTTTTTAATATATGATGAAGTATTTATGAATGAAAGGACAGAAGGGAGCGTTAGTGTAAATGTTTTTCTTTTCTTTTCTTCTTTTTAATATGTGATGAGGTATTTATGAATGAAAGTACAGAAAGGATCGTTAGTGTAAATATATATATATTTTTAATATATGATGAAGTATTTATGAATGAAAGACAGAAGGGATGGTTAGTGTATTTTTCTTTTCTTTTTTTAATATATGATGAAGTATTTATGAATGAAAGGAGAGAAGGGATCGTTAGCGTAAAGTGTTTTTTTTTCTTAATACATGAAGTATTTGTGAATGAGTGGAGAGAAGGGATGGTTAGTGTAAAGTGTTTTTGTTCTTTTCTTTTAATATATGATGAAGTATTTGTGAGGAAATGTTGATTAAATTAATGTTGATTAAATGTTGATTAAATTAATGTTTGATAAAATGTGATGTGATGGAGAGAAGGGATGGTTAGTGTAAACTGTTTTTTTTTTCTTTCTTTCCTTCCTTTTAATATATGATGAAGTATTTGTGAATAAATAATGCTGGACAAAGGAGAGCTTTTACAGAATGTGATGTGATAAAATATGTGAATAGAATGAGAATAGAACTAAGGTATAGAACACTGTTACCATTAATGTATTTTCAAAGACCAATGATGATGTTATAAATCACTGAATAGAGATATCAGACAATTAAATGCATTTCGGGCTTCACAGACAGTAAAAACATGAAATATATGATTAAAAAAAAAAAAACATTGACTATAATGTTTTTTTTACAATCATTCGAAGGATTGTTGAAATTTGTAAAAGCAAATGTTATTCTGAGAACATAAAGTATTACATGCAACATATGAAATCAACAATACATATATTCTTATCATTTTTTTTTCAAAATGTCAAAATACCTGGGTTTCCTGACAGTCAATATATATCCTATGCTCAGGAATGTACCTTGCTCCTATTCACAGTTTCCGCTTTTACGAAATATCTTATCCTTGGAGACGTTATCATCTCAAAACCACAAAATACCGAAGTATTCTACATGACACGATATATAATAAAATACATATCATCTCTTTTATACACACCCTCCCTAGCATCGAACACCCAAGACTTAACAAAACCCAACAAACCATTTCTTCTTAAACTCGTCAATTCCTATCATCGAGGTGCCAATATCCCACAAAAAAAGAAATCCGAAATTACATACACATACACACACAAAAAAATAAAAGTATTTGTTATCGAAAATCCTTGATCATGAACGAGCTTTACCACGCGTGACTCCATCGCGGCTTATTTTGGCTCGTTAGATTACCCCCGCGGGATGGTTCTCGTCGCGGCCCGAAAGAAACGGACGGAAGTCGTCTTCTGCATCCCTTGGCCGGCATTCCGGGAGGAGCGAGAGGAGAAGGCGAGAGGCGGAAGAGGAGGAGAGAGAGCGAGGAGAGAGAGGAGAGGAGGGGAGGGAGGGGAGAGCGGAGAAAAGAGAGAGGAGAGAGAGAGAGAGAGAGAGAGAGAGAGAGAGAGAGAGAGAGAGAGAGAGAGAGAGAGAGAGAGAGAGAGAGAGAGAGAGAGAGAGAGAGAGGAGGAGCGAGAGAAGGAAGGCGAAGAGAAATGGCATATAAACGCATGCGAAATAAAAGCATGAAAATCTATAGATCGGTATATTGAAGAGAGGATATGGAAATACACCCCCCCAAAAAATGAAAAGTTAAGTAAAGGGAAAACGAAACTGACTCTCTCTCTCTCTCTCTCTCTCTCTCTCTCTCTCTCTCTCTCTCTCTCTCTCTCTCTCTCTCTCTCTCTCTCTCTCTCTCTCTCTCTCTCTCTCTCTCCTCTCTCTTTTACTATCGGCCTTCACTTTTCCATTGTTACTTTTAATTCACTTTATCATAACCATTGATATCATTATCTTCATTATTGTTACAACCGGTATCATTAACATAGGCATTATCATTACCATCATTAATTTCATCTTACAACAAAAGACAAAGAACAAATAAATAAATAAATACAAACAGAACACAACGAAAGCAAATAGATGAAGAAAAGAAAACGAATAAAATGAATAAAAATACACAAAGCAATGCAACGAAGATAAAAACACACAAAAAAATAAATGAATAAAAGCGAAACAAAAACAAATAGCTGAATAAAAAAAAACAAAATAAACAACGAAAAGACAAAAAAAATAAAAACAAAACCACGAATAAAAAAACAAACAGAAAAGATAAAAAAATATAAATATGAAAAAAACACACGAAACAAACCGTGGCCAGGAGGAAAGGGGGATGGGGAGGACCGGTGGGGGAGGGGGGAGTAGAGGAACAGCCACCCCCCCCTTACTTGCCGGACGCGAAGTCAAATGAACTACATAATTAGTCAATCGATAAAGGAAATTGTCGCGACGTTATAACAAGGGAGGAAGGGAGGGAAGGAGGGGGGGGGGGGAGGCAAGGAGAAAAGGGGAGGAGGGTAAATAGGGAGGTGGGGGAGGGGGGGCAGAAGGGTAATAGGGGGGGTGGGGAAGGGGTAAGGGAGGTGAGGTGGGGTAGGGGGGGTAGGGGGAGGGGGGGAAGAAAGGGGGGTGGGGGAGGGGGGAGGGGAAAAGGGGTAAGGGGGTGGGGGTAGGGAAGAGGGTGAGGGTAGCATGGCAAAGAAGGAAACAGTGGTTTATATAAAAAAGCGGGGAGGGGAAGAGGGAGGGGGGGAGTTATTTAAACGGCAGATGGACAGCTGTGAGAATGTGGAGGGTGGGGGGGTAGGGGAAGGGTGAGGGTGGGAGGATGGGCAGGGGAGGTTGGGGGAGAAGAAAAGAGAAAGAAGATAAAGGAGAAGATGAAGAAAATAATGAAAAAGAGGAAGAAAAGAAAATAATAATAACAAGAACAAAGAAGATGAAGAATAAGTACAAGAACTTAAAAAAAAGATAAGAAAGGGCACACTATCAAAGAAAAGAAACGCGGTATCCCCCCCCCCCTCAGGCAGAACAGGAAGGGGTGGGAGGGGGGGGGGGGGGTGAATTCCCTACCCTGGCGGCAAAAGGCTTGACTGCTCATGGGTCAGTTAGGAAAAGGGGGGGGAGGTAATGAGGGTGGGAAGGAAGGAGAGAGGAAGAGAGAGAAGGGAGGGAGGAAGGGAGAGAGGAAGAGAGGAGATTGAGAGGTAGGGAGACAAGGAGACAGGGAGAGAGAGAGAGAGAGAGAGAGAGAGAGAGAGAGAGAGAGAGAGAGAGAGAGAGAGAGAGAGAGACCGCGAGGAGGATAACAAGGAGAAGAAAAAGAGAGAAATTTACGACAATGCTTAGAGATAGAGAAAAGTGACTAGGGGGTGTAGAAGGGGAGAGAAAGGAGGAAGAGGACGTGGCTGATGATGGGGAGAGAGGAAAGGGGAGGAGAGAATGAAAGGGGGGTGATGAAGTGAGTGAAGATACAAGCAAATAGCAATCTGTAACGTTTTTTCACATCCCAAACCATGAAAACTGACAACCATTAACACTTTGGCCATTATTGTTACCATGAAACTTCTAAACACAAAAAAAATAATGAAGAAAATAAAAACAAAAGGAACAAGAGAGAGAGAGAGAGAGAGAGAGAGAGAGAGAGAGAAAGAGAGAGAAAGAGAAAGAGAGAGAAAGAGAAAGAGAAAGAGAAAGAGAAAGAGAAAGAGAAGAGAAAGAGAAAGAGAAAGAGAAAAGAGAAGAGAGAGAGAAAGAGAAGAGAAAGAGAAAGAGAGAAGAGAAAGAGAAAGAGAAAGAGAAAGAGAAAGAGAGAGAGAGAAGAGAAAGAGAAAGAGAAAGAGAGAAGAGAAATAGAAAGAGAAGAGAAGAAGAAAGAAGAGAAAAGAAAGAAGAAAGAAAGATAGAAGAAAGAAAGAAAGAAAGAAAGAAAGAAAGAAAGAAGAAAGAAAGAAAGAGAGAGAGAGAGAAATAGAGACAGACAGACTGACAGGCAGACAGAGTAACCACCCACTAACGACCATTCGGGGATAAGGTTAACCTAACCACCCAACAATTACCACCAAATTAACAAGTTTCTGGACAGTGTCGTGTGGTATAATCCTGGCCCATTTTATTTTATTATTGCCTTTTGTTTTTATTATTATTATTGTTTTTTTTTTCTGAGATCGGAAAAATTTTGCGAATAATTACATGTGCGAAAATAATAGTAGGCTTGTACCCTTTAGAAGTTGTGTGTGATGATTTTAGGCCATTTTAGGCCCTTATGTATTACTGACTAGGCTAACGCAATACTGCATGTTCTACTCCATATCTATTTTTTGTCTGTTTGTCTTTCTCTGTACCTATTTCTGTGTTTATTTGTCTCTGTCTGTCTGTGCTTCTCTTTCTTTCTCTCTGATTCTGTTTGTTTTTCTTTTATTCTCCCCCTCTCTCTCTCTCTCTCTCTCTTCTCTCTCTCTCTCTCTCTCTCTCTCTCTCTCTCTCTCTCTCTCTGTCTACCTCTCTCACACACACAAACTCCCACGCTCTCGCACACCGCACGTCGTAAACTTTCCCGTGTACACAAGCACAGTACTTATTGCATGCCGACGTAAGGATCCATTTCCTGTGCGTTGATTTTTGGGTTCGTGAGAGAGAAAAGACAGGGATACAAACTCAATAGATTTTCTTTTTTTCATTCTTAAATAGACGAACAATTTTAATGAAATGTGAAATTAATCAAACGAATATAAACTATGATTGATATTATTTTTCTGATAACAAGCGTGGATAGTAAGGATTTTGAAAATTTCTTAACGGTTTCAAGTCAGTTGATCGTTCATTCAGTTCAAATTTCAAAGTAAATTCAACGCCTGAATGTAATTATCATAAACCATCATTTATTCAATTTGTAATTCATATTCCAAATATGCCCGTGCAGAAATTCGATTTTTTTCAGTGTTAGACACTACGAAGAATATTACAAATGCAATGAAAAAAAATATATATATAAAGTCAACATTTATGTGCATATGATTAACCTAAAAGTCGAAATTCCTTTTTAATAAAATAAAATGTAACCTGAGATATTTCCTTCATAAACTGCTTACTGAAACGCCGTTGTTTTAAACATATTCACATACGAAATAACACAAGAAAATATGAAATACCGATCATATGCAAAAAATCTAATAATAATAATGATAATGATAAACAAAAACAATAATAATAATGATAATAATAATAATTATAATAACAACGACAATAATAATGATAATGATAATAATAACAATAATAATATAACTTGATGATAAATAAATAAATAAAGCAATATAGATAAAACAAAAATAAATAAGGTCTATCGAATCCAACCGGACGTTATCGTACCTCGGCAACGTCGCGCGGGAAACGGAAGTGGGATGTTGTTCAGCGGTCGTGCGAGTTCTCGAATGTTATTGTTCAGACTTTATGGTTCTCTGAAAAGCCTTCTGGAGTTGAACGGCAGAAGTCTTGTTTCGGTACGCTCTTTGGGGGGGGGGTAATTATATTTGCTTTTGTACCTTGGCATTACGTACGCGGGAATGGTGGTTCTGGGGAGTAATAGGTTGGTCTCTCACTCTCTCTCTCTCTCTTTTCTTTTGGTTTCTCGTGGTTTTGTATGGATGAGTAATTGTATTTTTTCTTGTTTGTTTCCTTTCTCTCTTTTTTTTCTCATTTCTCGTTTACTTTTTTTTTTTTTTTTTGGGGGGGGGACTCTGGAATCCTCAGATAAGTTTTTCCAATCTTGTTTATCGCGCCATCATATAATTATATTTTTCTTCTTTCCGTATACAATGATCATATAATTCTCAAGAGTAATTGGATAAATAATTTCTCAATACTTCTCTCTTCATTTTCTTCCTTCCCTTTCGCAAACCTCAAAACCTATTGGCGTCTTCATATTTCTTCATTTTCATTCTTCTTTCCTCTTTTTTCTGTCTCTCGCTTTCCCTTTCGCAAACCACAAAACCTATTCCGTCTTCATGAATTCCCCTTTTTTTCCAATGCTTCTCTCTCTCTTCTTCTCTTCTTCCTTTCCCCCTCATTCTCTTTCACCAACCTCAAGAGGTCAAAATGAAACTTCTTCGGAGAGAGAGAGAGAGAGAGAGAGAGAGAGAGAGAGAGAGAGAGAGAGAGAGAGAGAGAGAGAGAGAGAGAGAGAGAGAGAGAGAGGAGAGGAAGAGAGAGAGAGAGAGAGAGAGATAAGAGAGAGAGGAGAAGAGAGAGAGAGAGAGAGAGAGAGAAGAGAGAGAGAAAGAGAAGAGAAGAGTAGGAGAGAGGGAGAGAAGAGAGAGAGAGAAAGAGAAGA